TGCTTTGGATAAAACAAGTAGTGTAGAGTTTATCACTGTTTCATTTACTCTGATCCTTGTAAGACATGGTCACTTCTGAATGCTCTACCTGAAGTTTTAGTCATTGTCAGATAGTTCTTCAAAATTGTTTTTTTAAAAAGGTTTGGGAATACTGCTTTTAATAATGCTGTATCCAAAATAACAGTATTCCCCATCCTCACCCCACCCTGCAAAACCAAAAAATCTCAGTTTTAAAAAATAAAGTTGAAATCACCTTTCCACTTGACTTAGAGCTACAACTTCTTTCCTCCTGGCCCCATAGCATTAACATCACTGTAAATTTTACGTTGGAGAATGTTGCTTTTCGTTTTCATATAAAGTACTAATAATTTTTAAAGCATTTTTGCACTGCCCTTAATTTTAAATCAAAAGACAATTTTAAATACGTCTTTTAAAAATTAAAGTTTAGTTTAAGTTGTTTCCGTTTCATAAATGCCTTGGAGTAGGATTGGGTAATTCATAGACTTCTGAATCAAAGTATAATTTCAATCATTAATGATGTACAGAAAATTCGTTTTCTTAAACATTTTGTTGTTAGAGGCTCTTCATTGGGGGAATGTTTTTTCTAGTTACCCTGCACTGAATATAAAGTGTATTATACAGAGAGTCTTATTTTAATGGTGGCTCTTCTTCGCTTTCATAGGATGACATGCAAATTAGAGTTTTTAACTATAACACCTTGGAAAGAGTTCACATGTTTGAAGCACATTCAGATTACATTCGTTGTATTGCTGTGCATCCCACACAGCCTTTCATACTGACAAGCAGCGGTAAGAGTTCTTCGGTATATTTTTATATTTATTAACCAGCTATTTTTAGGCTTCTTTTTTTCTGTCCAGTGAGAGATAGCATGTTTTTTCCTTTTTCATCTGAAACAGGAGTCCTTGAGCAAGTAGCCAACATGACAGTTGTCATTTCATGTTATTTCTTTGCCAGATGCATTCATGGTTTTTTATTGGAATATCAACTGTACTTAAAATTTAAAATATAATAGTTCTGTTCTTGTCAGGGAAGACCGAAGAACCTTCTTGCTTAATATCTGCCAGAGGAAAGGTTCGTATATGTGCTAATATTTGAGAGGTTGCCATGCTAAAGTTCTGCTTTTTAAAAAAATTACATAATGGTTTGGAGTATGTTTTCAGCTGGCAATCTGACTTGAAGCAACAGATAACTTTCATCTTTTTTCCCAAAAATACTATGGAGTTCTCTGTTATTTGAGGCGATCTGTGTTACTCAGGATTAGAAGATGACAGTATCCTGACAGATCTTGCCCAAAGGCATTTTCATCATGCTAGTCAGTCCTTGTCATTCCTGGAAACCTTACTAATGCAGTTGGAGTTCTGCAGGAGTGCAGAGAGCCTTGTGAGTCAGAAGTGCTACATATTTCTGTGTTTTGCCATTGAAGCTAATACATTTACACTTGAAATAAAGGTACTGGGAAGCCACCTTGGTTGTCTCTGCTTCCTGTTATTTTTAATAATGTTAATATTACATTATTAGTGCTCATCACAGTAGGTGCTGCAGAAGAAAGCATGGGTCCAGTTCCTTAAAATCTGCATAGTATTTTAAGATTAATAATTCGATACCTTAATATCAGTTCTTAATTTCCCTTTTTAAGACAGATATATTTCTTACTTAGTTTTATCACCATTTTACTGGTCAGTCTTTTTGAGAAACTTGTACTCTCTGTGGTCCTTCTGCAAGGAAGGACTGGTAATCTTACAGATGAAAAATATGTTGAGTATTAGCAGTGCCTCCTTTCAAGGGGGAGGGGATGACTGAGACTTTAACTTGAAGTTATTGAGGATTATGTAATTTGAGAAGGTAGGTATCAGAACGTATCAAACTAACTGAGGCTTGTTTGTTTTTCAGATGACATGCTCATTAAACTCTGGGACTGGGATAAAAAATGGTCTTGTTCTCAGGTATTTGAAGGGCACACCCATTATGTCATGCAGATTGTCATAAACCCAAAAGACAATAACCAGTTTGCCAGTGCCTCTTTGGACAGGACAATCAAGGTAGAGAAACTGTATTTTGGGGGTGGTTTTTTTTAGTCATTAAGTAATTATCAGACAAATAATACCGTATGGACAATGTGTCAGAAAAGCAGGTGCAATAATAGAATTTTTGTTGAATGAAGATCTCAATGTTGGTCGAGTTACTAAGCACCTACTAAGTAATTCAGTAATTTTACAAGATTACTTGTCACCTCTAATAATTGGAATATGATTATCTCAACTTTTAAGTGCTGCATTTCCATTTGGATTACAAGAAATATTGGGGAGCAATAGTTTGGGAGAACTGAAACTATATATATAGTGGTTAACACCTTTAACTGTTTGCATTTAAAAAAAAAAGTAAAGGCGTTTCTCCTGTTATTTTGATGTCCTTGGCTGTCTGTCTATTGAATTGTTTCCAAAGGTGTCTTCAGCCTTTTTGTAGTAGACCTGACAAGTCTCACTTGCTGTGAAACTATTACTAAATATCTGGGATTATAGATTTACAGCCATGTGAGCAGTGAGACTTCCTCACATTCCCTATAAATTATCAGTGTATTGGCTGTAAAAAGCCAGTTTTAATTTCATATGTCCTCAGATGTTGAGATTAGGTGCGTACAAATGTTGATTCGATATGATAATCATGGGAAAATCGCAGTATATCTATGACAGGGTTCATTTTGAGTCCTTGTTTAGCATGAGATTTGTCATTAATTTAATATAACTGTAAAAAATAAAATTCGGGACACAGTTGGTGCAACCTGTGTATGCCCAAATAGTTGACTGCATTTTCTGGGTCTATTAGTTAATTTCATAAACAGATACCACTTTTTACAAACAGTGTATTGTATGCTTTTATGTCCTTAAAAAAAAGTTGAGAGAAACCAGTTCCATTGTTTTGACATGTGATCACAGCATGTGCAACTCAGCATGTTATTTCTGTTTATTTGGAGGGGGGAGTATTTCTAGTTTGATATGCAGTTGTTCAGGTTCTTCACCTAAGAAAACAGCTGTGTCTTTGGAATTCCGTATTCTACGTCTTTGGAATTGTAAAGTACATGTGAATACCTGCTCTCTTTGACAAGGTTGAGCTGCATGTAAAAGATCGATAACTACATGCAGTTGGGTTTCTTGTTTTTCTGGGAAGGTGTGGCAGCTTGGCTCTTCTTCACCCAACTTCACTTTGGAAGGTCATGAGAAAGGAGTAAACTGCATTGACTATTACAGTGGAGGAGACAAGCCATATCTCATATCTGGTGCAGATGACCGGTTGGTTAAGATCTGGGACTACCAGGTGTGCGTTCAACTCTTCATAAACTTTTGTGCAGACTGCCAGTGCAAAACTGTTAGTGGAGAAATAGAAAGAGGGAAAGTACTTGAATACACCAACAGATTGTCCTCATTTTTCCTTAGAAACGTAAATAACCCTTGCCTTTTGGACTTCATTTTTTGTGGATTAAGGTGCTCCTCTTCTGTGTTCAAATGTAAATATTATTCATGTATCGACTCTTCCCATCCTTTCACTTTTCATTATTTTTTCGTTTTTTCTTCGTTCCCTTTCCTCTCTCCTTTTTCATCTTATGCACGTTTACACAGGCATATGTGTGCATGCACACACATGCATGTGCTTCTGCTTGACAGTTTGCAGGGGACATGAGGTGACTTGTTTGAATGCTCTACAGGAAAGAGAGATTGAATCCAGGGTTTCAAGTCTGTTGCTGGAACCTAGATCTCATAAGTTCTTCCTGTGTACAAGTGTATCAATGGTCAGAAGGGCAAGACAAAGTTTGTTAGATAATGTTTTCTGATTGTTAAAGCACATTGCCCTGGAGGAAATCCAAGCTCAGAAGTTAAAGCCAGTGCTGTTAATTTAAGTGTGGACTGCAGTAATGGCTGTTACATAACAGTGCTTGAAACTTTGTCACCATCTACAGTTGTGTACATCAGTTACAAAGTCTAATCTTAGCTGTCTCAAGCAGGGTAGACTTTCTTGTCACGACTATGAAAATGAACATTCTTAACAAAGACAGTATTAGATCTGTCTTCACCTGTAACTAGATTCAGATAGATGTTTTGCTCTGATTTTTTTTTTTTTTTTTTTTGTAGTGAACTCAGCTTTCTGTCTTGCTTTAATCTGTCATGCTGCATAGCTCTGAGAAAGCATATTGTCTGGGCAGAAACCCATCTGAAAATAGCAGAAAACTGTCAAGGGAAGGAAATATTTTCTTCTGGGGAGGAGAGATTAACTCAATACAATCATAGTTTTTAATATGTCTTGATGCTGCTCTTTGGAAATAAATGTTACTGGAAGAAATATAGAGAAATATGTTTTCAGATATATTTTGGATTTGGGGAAGATTTTTTTCAGAAATTAAGGTAAAAATGTAGTAATGTGTTTATTACCTGTACTTCTTGCTCTTTTTGCAGAATAAAACATGTGTACAAACACTGGAAGGACATGCTCAAAATGTGTCGTGTGTCAGCTTCCATCCTGAATTGCCTATCATTATTACAGGCTCAGAAGACGGTAATTTTGTATTTTCTGGTATATAAAGGACAGGGGAAGAACTAACGGAGAACTTTTCTTGTGGTATGGCTATACACTTCCTGCCCTCACACTGAGAGAAGAGATAAAAGGCATGTATGTATTTCTTGTTCCTCTAGGAACTGTGCGCATTTGGCATTCAAGCACTTACCGCCTGGAAAGTACCCTCAACTACGGTATGGAGAGAGTGTGGTGTGTGGCCAGTTTAAGAGGATCCAATAATGTGGCTTTGGGATACGATGAAGGCAGTATTATTGTTAAGGTACAGTTAATGATTTGGAATGAGAAATGGTGATTCATTGCTGTGCTATGTACAGAGCAACTGATTTCTGATTCTGTGATAATATGTAAAATACTGAAAACTTGGGATTTTAGTTGGCATTTTTAGACAGAGACAGGGTATTTCACTAGATAGGTTCAACTGAAAAGAAAATCAAGAATGTATTTTCTCCATCTGTTATATTCTTATGCTACACTTCCTAGCTTGGTCGTGAAGAACCTGCCATGTCCATGGATGCAAATGGAAAAATTATTTGGGCTAAACATTCAGAAGTCCAACAGGCTAACTTGAAAGCTATGGGAGATGCTGAAATCAAAGATGGAGAAAGATTGCCGCTGGCTGTAAAGGATATGGGGAGCTGTGAAATCTATCCTCAGACAATTCAGCACAACCCTAATGGACGGTAATAGATTTTAGAACAAAATACTTAAATGTTTCAAATTTCTCAGTTTTCTGTCTTTTAAATTGGAAAACTTTTTGAATGAAAAAATTAGCTCCTGTAGTGTGCTGGTGGAGAACAGATGTATCAGCCAGGCACTGTAAAATCAGTAGTAGATGGCTTCACTTGTATGAGTTCACACCTTAGAAAAGTTGGACCGTGTAGGTAGGGGAAGAAGCATGCAAACAAAATGTATAAGGTAATATCAGCAAACCACATTCTTCATGCCTTCTCCTGAGTTTTTCTTAACAGGTCAGCTAAACTAAAAGAAAAAGTAAAGGGATACAAGGTACAAGAGCCACTCAGCGGAGACCAGAAGGAAGAGGGAATAGCAAGTAGCTAGCAACATGACACAGAGAAAAATGCAGTTCTGTGACATTTTTGGAATATACGAAGCTCTTTTTATTCTGTCTGCATTTGCAGGGGTTATATTGGGCTAGGGGCCTTTAACTTGTCAGACAGTTTGTCTGTTTGATCATGCATATTGAACTGAACACAGATATCTGACAAATGCATCTTTCTCATGCTCTAGGTTTGTAGTAGTGTGTGGTGATGGTGAATACATCATCTACACAGCTATGGCCTTGAGAAACAAGAGCTTTGGTTCTGCACAGGAGTTTGTATGGGCACATGATTCTTCAGAGTAAGTGTTGCAGATTTTTTCCTTTGCATTAACTTAAATCTGCTGTTGCTAGTTTTAGTTTAGCAACTAATGCTGTTGCTAGTACAAATGGTAGAAAGAGTGGTTTGGGTTGGTTTAAGTGACCTTAAAGATCACCTAGTTCCAACCTCCCTGCCATGGGCAGGGACACCTTCTGCTAGACCAGGTTGCTCAAAGCCCCATCAAACCTGGCCTTGAACACTGCCAGGGAGGGCGCAGCCACAGCTTCTCTGGGCAGCCTGGTCCAGTGCCTCACCACCCTCACAGCAAGGAACTTCTTCCTTACATCTAATCTGAGTGTACTGTCTTTCAGTTTGAAACCATGACCCTATCTCCTATCCCTACATGCATTTGTAAAAAGTCCCTCTCCAGCTTTCTTGTAAGCCCACTTTAGGTACTGGAAGGCCGCTGTGTGATGTCACTGGAGCCTTCTCTTCTCCAGGCTGAACAACCCCAACTCTCTCAGCCTGTCCTTACAGAGGGCGTGCTTCAGCCCCCTCATCATCTTCATGGCCTCCTCTGGACTCGCTTCAACAGGTCCATGTGTTCCTTGTGCTAGGGGCCCCAGAGCTGAACACAG